TGGCTCCAGACTCTCACCTGCACCATGGCCACCAGTTCTTGGAGTTGTCGGAGTTTCTGTTTGGCTGTTTGAAGACGACGAACTTTCTGAGCATAATCTGTGTCACCACCTAGACTGCTTCTACGACTGGAGCCTGAACCGTCACAGTCTCTGCCTCCTCTTGCCCCATCATCTTCCTCCAGTGCCTCATCATCACCCTCATCTTTAACACCATCACAAGGCCTGTCCCGATTGAATTGGCATTCTAAAGTGATAATGAAAATAAAATAAATAGTTAATAGGTTGATAGTTTTGTCAGCACAGCTTGTTTTTAATTTTAGGTTAATAAATTTATTCAAAGACCGACTGTGTCGACAGATATTGCACAACAGTGACTATTTCTAGGTTTGAAAGGTTGTGAGGTCTGACCTATGAATGAAGGGACATTGAGACAGCGGAGGTTGGCTGCTGAGCGGTTATTGATTTCACATTCTGTGTTCAGACGGCCATCTCTATTATTGGAGGCACTGTGAGCTTTCCCCAAACGGTTCATGTCCATCCAGTTACTCGGAGTCTGTGGTTGGGCTGGATTTCTACGAAAATAAAACATTTTATTTCTAATCTGCCCTCAATTAACAACAACTGAAAAGCAGCCAGTTATTTTCAGATTCCTTCAACAAGACAATTCTCACAGAAACAGAGGCAACGTGTATCCTTTAAATCACACAGATGACGCAATGAGAAGACAAATATTCAAGATTGGACTACCCACGCTGAAACTGTGACTGGCAATGTTTTGGCACGGCGCATGACCTAAGACTTTTTCTGGTCATTTTTCTTTTTGCAAGACACTAGAGCTGGATATTGACACAGATTTAATGAATTTGATTTAATATAAATTTTTCTGGATATATATCGGGTATCAATCTCTCAACTAATGCTGTAAACTCTACAGATAACCCTGTCAGTTGATACATACTATAATGTTAGAGGTTTTCAATTAAAAACAGAATCCAACATATTAAATTTAATTGCAATTTATTTTTAGATGTAATCAACAAAATAAAAACTAGTTGAATACAAACATTTAAATTGTACATGAGCCCGTTTTTAAATCAGCTTTTTAATTATATAATTTAGTTTCTACTCCAATTCGTTGAATTGTGTTTCATAAAAAAATTATTTTTATGACAGATTTATTAACATACTAGGTCATCTAGGATAGGTAAAAATGTAATGAATATAATGAATGAATAGTTATGGACAAGCTATGGACTTTGAATCTTTCAGTAGTTGAAACACTCCTTACAGGAGACATGATACATTTCAGCAAGTTGCTCTGTATTATACCTCAAACCTTCAGATGTTTATTCCATGCTATAACTAGTAGTAAAGAGGAAGAGATGATCGCTACACATGTGCCCAGTCTTGCAGCTTAAACTGAGGTGGCTACAGCGATCTGTCATGCCACATCAAATGTGTCAAAACGGTAATTAACAGAATTTGAAAGCTGAGATTTCATATAAATTTCATTTAAGTTTCATATAAAAAGTAACAAAGCTTAATGTGATTACTGGGCTACAAATTATGTTTATTTA